GTTATATTTTTTTTTGCCAAATTATTGTGTTTTTTTTAAGTGCCGAGTGGCATAAATTGGATCAAACAACAAAACTTCGGTATAAACTTTTATTAATAAATTTGGATTTAATCGGCTGTAATTCGGCAGTCGAATAACCCAATTTGGACTAGTGTTATGCATATAAAAACAAAAGCAATTTATTAAATATTTTATTTTTCAATTTTAGTTTTGTATTTAATTTAATTATATACTGTAAAAAATTAAATTAATTGACTTTCCAAGATACAAGATTCAATTTTCAAAGCTAGGGCGATCTGAGTATTTAATATTTTTAATATAAACAGTTATTATTTACATACATAGTACTTATTTATACAAAAAAAAACAATTTTAATTAGAACCAACTATTCAAACTGTTATATAAATGATTTTGTAGAAGCTGAATAATTGTTCAACTTATACCCAAGTTACTATTGTATGAGTCAAAGATTAGATATTATTATATATGTGTTTATTTAGTTGTGTTACTAGTAAAATAGCATGAATAAGCAGAATAATCAAAACAATCAAAATATGAAAATAATTTAAATAAAGAAAACAAGTTAGATTTTTTTTCAATGATGCTAATTTTACTATTTCTAATAAGTTACAGATCCGTGGTCATCTATAGCCATTACAATTAGCATTTATATTATAAATTTTTGTATTATATTATGCTATTATAAAATAATATAGGCAATGTTGCTTTAATTAATTATACTAATAGTTAATGCGCTATGCATTGTATTTTATTATTATGGTTTTATTACCAAATCGTTTATCGTAGAATCTATAAAAAATATTAATATTAAATACCACACAATCCTATTACAAGAATATCTTATGATTTTTAATAATAAATTTTCACCTTTCATGTGATGGCCAAAGGATTCACTATACCGTTTGGAAACAATATAAGTGTTAATAAATTTGCTTGTATACTCAGAATCTTGATGTATTTGCAAAGCCACGGGTGACTGTTTAACTATTTCATCAGATTCTAAGAATTTATTAAGCATTTCTACTTTTGATTCATCAATTTCATCGAATTCTTTGAATTCAAATCTGTCAATCTCCTGAGTATCATCGTAATATTCAGTTTCATCAAAATCATTAATCAAATTATACCATTCTTCTAACTTATAAAAAATTTCTTTTGCAGTAGGCCGTTTTTGTGGATCAAAATTCATACACAGTTCTGAAAATTCCACATAAAAATCGGGAGTCCCTAAAGCAAATTTTGGTCTTAATCCATTACAGATTTGCAACGCTAAATTCTCATCAAATAAATAACCATCAAATGGTTGTGTTCCAGTAGTTATTTCCGACATAATAACACCGAAACTATATATATCAGATGCTTGCGTGTGATTTTCGCCTAACAAAATTTCAGGCGCAATATAAGGCATTACTCCATGAATTCCTTTTTTGATTCCAGTACCTTCGTTTTTCCGAGACAATCCTAGATCTATAATATATGACTTTGATCTTTCAAGCCACGATCCCTCTTTATGTAATACAATATTTCCACTATGTAAATCGCAATGAATATATTTTGCTTCATGAATTAGAGACAAATCTTTTGATATATCCATCAGTCGTAATAATTTATCTTTCCAAGTAAGTTCTTTAAATTGCGATTTTAAATAGTGACGAAGATTGCCATTGTTGGCATATTGAAGAACCATCATATATTGATTTGTGATTGTATTTTTGGTTAAACCATATACTTCAAGGCTACTCCCCATTAATCTACATCGCATGTGATTTTTAAACTTTATAAATAAACTTATGTTAGCGTACTATCAGTTAAACATAAAATAACCTAAAAAAAAAATACTGGACTAACTTCTCTTAAGAAATCTGCAGAACTCGAAGAACCAGATAAAGTCTTGAGTGCAACTAAGTAAGATTGTATTCGTGACTGTATGAATCCTTTGCCATCATTTAGAACCTTTCTTTTTCCGTCTATCCAGTTTGCGGAAAAAACGTCACCAAATCCTCCTTTCCCGATGTGCTGTATATTATTTAATCTATCAAAAGGGATCCATTCTATTATTTTTTCATATTCTGTGGCAATAAATTGAAATTCTTTGATACAATCATCTACATCAATGCTTTCACTTGTCCATGCTTGAGTTATTTCAAAAGGATCGCACGATTGACACCAGCCTCTCGAGGTATTATAATGCTCATCCCATCTGCATACACCGTATTTCTCATCTCTCCTAGAAATGCAATAATCAATTACGGTCATATATTGTTTCGATGTAGTATTTTGAGTTATCCCAAATATTTTATGCCCATTATTTTCAAATTGCACAAAACTTTTAAACTTAGAAAATAGAATAGAAAATTTAGTGTCGTTTTCCAAATAGGCAGTGAGCAAATATTTAACTTACTTTTTTTATAAACTTCAATGCATCAATTTGTAAACCATCTAATTTTTGAAGTTCTACTAAACATGATAACGTACGCAATTGTGTGTTGTTTTTGACTTTTCGTATTCCATCTAGCCATAGTGCATGAAATTTGTATTCGTCTATTTTTTGCAAGTTAGATAACCTATTAAATGGAATCCATTCAATTACATCTTCATATCTTGTACTCTTGAGTTGAAGCCCTTTAATGTAATCATCGATATCTTTACTTCCACTGGTCCATTCTTGAGTGGTTTTAAAAGGATCACATGATTGGCACCAGGCTTCTGAAGTATTATATCTATTGCAATGTGCACATTTTCCATATAATATATCTCTTTCACAATGAAAATCATCAAATACAACCATATATTGGTTTGTTGTCGTATCTTGCGTTATTCCGTATAATCTAAGTTTACCATTCTTCAATTGCATGTAATTTTTAAGCTTTAAAAGAAATATAAATTGGTGTCATACTATTAAATAAAATCATAAAGTAAACTCATAACTTACCTTTTTTATAAATTCTAATGTGTCAATTTGTGAATCATCTAATTTTATAAGTTCAACCGTACATGATAACTCGCGTGACTGTATAAATTCCAATGTATTAAATTGCTTATATAGCAGTGTACGTGACTTGAGCTTTCGTATACCATCTAACCATTGTGCATTAAACTTGGACTCTTCTATTTTTTTCAAGTTTAATAACTTATCAAAAGGAATCCACTCAATTACGTCTTCATACTTAGTAGCTTTAAGTTGAAGCTCTTTAATACACTCATCGATATCCTTATTTCCACTAGTCCATCCTTGAATAATTTTAAAAGGATCACACGGCTGGCACCAGGCTTCTGAAGTATTATATCTCTCGCACTGTATACACCTTCCATATATAATACTTCTTTTGTTATAAAAATCATCAAATACAATCATATATTGACCAGTTATTGTATTCTGTGTTATTCCGTATAGTTTGCGCTTATTATCTTCTAGCTGCATGTAATTTTTAAACTTGTAAAACAAAATATAAAAATAAGTGTTAATATTCTAAATAAACTATAAATAAATCTAATAACTTACCTCTTTCATAAATTCTGATCTGTTAATTTGCGAATCATTCATCCTCATAAGTTCAACCGAACAAGATAATGTACGTGACTGTGTGTTATTTCTGACATTTCGTATTCCATCTAACCATAATGCTTGAAAATTCAACCCGATTTTTTGCAAGTTAGATAGCCTATTAAACGGAATCCACTCAATTACGTCTTCATATTTTGTACTTTTAAGTTGTGATTCTTTAATGCACTCATCAATACCCTTATCTCCACTAGTCCATCCTTGAATAGTTTTAAAAGAATCACACGACTGACACCAGGCTTCTGAAGTATTATATCTCTCGCACTGTATACACTTTCCATATATAATATTTCTTTTGTTATAAAAATCATCAAATACAAACATATATTGACCAGTTGTATCCCGTGTTATTCCGTATAGTTTGCGTTTATTATCTTCTAGTTGCATGTAATTTTTAAACTTGTAAAATAAAATAAAAACATGTGTTAATATTCTAAATAAAATCAAAAATAAATTAAATAACTTACTTCTTTCATAAATTCTAATCTGTTAATTTGCGAATGATTCATCCTCTTAAGTTCAACCAAACAAGATAATGTACGTGAATGTGTATTATTTCTGATAGTTCGTATTCCATCTAACCATAATGCTTGAAAATTTAATCCTATTTCTTGCAAGTTAGATAATCTATTAAACGGAATCCACTCAATTACATCTTCATATTTTGCACTTTTAAGTTGTGCTTCTTTGATGCACTCATCAATATCCTTATCTCCACTAGTCCATCCTTGAATAGTTTTAAAAGAATCACAAGGCTGGCACCAGGCTTCTGAAGTATTATATCTCTCGCACTGTATACACTTTCCATATATAATATTCCTTTTGTTATAGAAATCATCAAATACAATCATATATTGACCAGTTGTTGTATCCCGTGTTATTCCGAATAGTTTGCGTTCATTATCTTCTAGTTGTATGTAATTTTTAAACTTATAAAGTAAAATATAAAATAAGTGTCGTTCTGTTAAATAAAACCACAATAAATCCATATCTTACTTCTTTAATAAATTCTAATGTGCCGATTTGTGGATAATTAAATTTCTTGATTTCAACTGAATAAGGTAATGTACGTAACTGTGTATTATTTTTAATAACTCGTATTCCATCTAACCACAATGCTTGAAAATTCAACCCGATTTTGCGCAAGTTAGATAATCTATTAAACGGAATCCACTCAATTACATCTTCATATTCAGCACTTTTAAGTTGTGCTTCTTTGATGCATTCATCAATATCCTTATCTTCACTAGTCCATCCTTGAATAGTTTTAAAAGAATCACAAGGCTGGCACCAGGCTTCTGAAGTATTATATCTCTCGCACTGTATACACTTTCCATATATAATATTCCTTTTGTTATAGAAATCATCAAATACAATCATATATTGACCAGTTGTTGTATCCCGTGTTATTCCGAATAGTTTACGTTCATTATCTTCTAGTTGTATGTAATTTTTCAACTTGTAAAGTAAAATATAAAAATAAGTGTCGTTTTGTTAAATAAATCACAATAAGTATATAGCTTACTTCTTTCATAAATTCTAATGCGTCAATTTGTAGATAATTGAATTTCTTTATTTCAACCGGATAAGGTAATGTACGTAACTGTGTATTATTTTTAATAATTCGGATTCCATCTAACCATAATGCTTGAAAATTTAATCCTATTTCTTGCAGGTTAAGTAACCTATTAAACGGAATCCACTCAACTACATTTTCATACTCTGTACTTTTAAGTTGTGCTTCTTTAATGCACTCATCGATATCCTTATCTCCACTAGTCCATCCTTGAGTTGTTTTAAAAGGGTCACATGATTGACACCAGGCTTCTGAAGTATTATTTCTCTCGCATTGTGTACAATTTCCATATTTAATATCCCTTTTGTAATAACATTCTTTAGATACAAACATGTATTCACTTGTTGTATTCTGTGTTATTCCGTATAGTTTACGTTTATTATCTTCTAGTTGTATGTAATTTTTAAACTTGTAAAGTAAAATATAAAAATAAGTGTCGTTCTGTTAAATAAATCACAATAAATCTATGGCTTACTTTCATAAATTTTAATGTGTCGATTAGTGGATAATTAAATTTATTAATTTCAACCGGATAAGGTAATGTACGTGACTGTGTATTATTTTTGATAGTTCGTATTCCATCCAACCATAATGCTTGAAAATTTAATCCTGTTTTTTGCAAGTTAGATAACCTATTTAACGGAATCCACTCAATTACATTTTCATATTTTGTAGTTTTGAGTTGTGCTTCTTTAATGTACTTATCGATATTATTATTTCCACTAGTCCATCCTTGAATAGTTTTAAAAGAATCACACGGCTGGCACCAGGCTTCTGAAGTATTAAATCCCTTACACTGTTTACACTTTCCACATTTAACATTCCCTTTGTGATATAAAGCATCAAATACAAGCATGTATTGATTAGTTGTATCTTGTGTTATTCCGTAAAGTTTGCGTTCATTATCCCTCAATTGCCTATAATTTTTAAGCTTGTAAAAAACATATATGTTAGTGCCGTGTTACTAAATAAAACCACAAAATAAATTTTGAACTTACTTCTTTTATAAATTCTAATGTGTTAATTTGTGAATTATTAAATTTCGTAATTTTAACCGAACAAGATAATGTACGTGATTGTGTATTATTGTTGACAATTCGTATTCCATCTAACCATAATGCTTGAAAATTCAACCCGATTTTGCGCAAGTTAGATAACCTATTAAACGGAATCCACTCAATTACATCTTCATATTTTGTACTTTTAAGTTGTTCTTCTTTAATACACTCATCAATATCCTTATCTCCACTAGTCCATCCTTGAATAGTTTTAAAAGAATCACAAGGCTGGCACCAGGCTTCTGAAGTATTATGTCTCTCGCACTGTATACAATTTCCATATATAATATTTCTTTTGTTATAAAAATCATCAAATACAACCATATATTGACCAGTTGTTGTATCCCGTGTTATTCCAAATAGTCTACGTTCATTATCTTCTAGTTGCGTGTAATTTTTAGACTTGTAAAGTAAAATATAAAAATAAGTGTCGTTCTGTTAAATAAAACCACAATAAATATATAGCTTACTTCTTTCATAAATTCTAATGCGTCGATTTGTGGGTAATTAAATTTCTTAATTTCAACTGAATAAGGTAATGTACGTGACTGTGTATTATTTTTAGTAATTCGTATTCCATCTAACCACAATGCTTGAAAATTCAACCCGATTTTGCGCAAGTTAGAGAGCCTATTAAACGGAATCCACTCAATTACATTTTCATATTCAGCACTTTTAAGTTGCAATTCTTTAATACAATCATCGATATTATTATTTCCACTAGTCCATCCTTGAGTGGCTTTAAAAGGGTCGCACGATTGACACCAGGCAAAAGAAGTATTAAATCTCTCACACTGTGCGCATTTTCCATATACGCTGTCCATACTAGAACAAATTCATCAAATATTAACTGTATTGACGGCAGTCATGCAAGAGCTATTATACTGTAGTACGGTCAACACTCGATAAAAAAAAACCATGTACAAATACAGTACTGTAATATACTGTAGTCTATATATGTTGATGATCGATGCATTAATTGAAAATAGTTACGATCATCAAAAATTTTCCGGGTCCCGGTTTACGCGGGGATTTTCGAAAAAATCCGAAAAATTTTTTTAAACGTAAATGTTACTACATATTAAACCTTTTGTTTTATTAAGCACGTATGCTTTTGTTTTAGGTAAGTATAGACAACTAAATCTATGAACAGTGAAAGTTTTGCTATTTTTTATCATCAATATTTAGGGTTATGTAATGATTTTATAATTATAATTTTAATATTCATATTGTTACGGGAAACGGCGATCGACGATATGGCTTGAAAATTAAGAAACAACGATCGCGCATTATAGAGGTTGCCAAAACGGGTAATCGACCCTCAACCTCGTTATTTCTTTTATTTTTGTTATTTTTTTTATTTTTTTTTTTGCTGTAAGAAAAAATATAAAAACAATGCAGAAAAGGAGAGTGAAAAATTAGTTAAAAAAAAGAGTGTTTACTAGATAAAAATCATCATACCTATAATACTTTTCTGACCAATAAAACTCCTCCAAATCATACAAACTCACGAAATTTATGCCTTATTCTGTCTTTACACTCCCCTGTTATAACAGGTACCCCTGTCAAAGTGTCGTGAAGTCAAGGATTTTGCTGCTACTATAGATAAACCCCTGACACAGGACAATATTATTTCTAAAATTAGTGCTTAAACAATATATAATAACAGTAATAAATATTTTTTATAATGTTTTAAATTATTTGCATATTGAATTTATATGGAATATTTAATAAATCATATTTCTACTAACAATAAACTAAAGTTCGATCATTATTCTTTATTATAGTTTTTTATTTTACTATTTAAATTAATATTAATAAATTAAGTAAATTTATTTTTATAAAGAATTTTATTATAATATACAGTATAATTTAGAATAAATATAAATTATTAAATTAAATAATAGAATTTTATTTAAATTTAGCAAAAAGTTTATTAAATATTAAATTTGTTATTAGATATATATTTTTTCTTTTTTAAAAAGTAAATAAACAATCCATACTTGATTTTTATTGAATTTAACTTTAACTATCATATATGTAAATAGGTTATACTAATTAATATTATTACTAACTATTGTTGATCTTAATGGCAAGTTTATTACTAATCTAAATCAGGACTTATGTTATATTAAAGAAAATGGTTTTCTATTACAGCATTATATGCCAATCTAACATCAATAACTAGTATAGGATGGAAAACTGATAGCAGTGAGACACTTTATTTAGGATATAGTCTAATGCAGTATGCCATAGTTCATAAAGAAAACATATTTGAGGTTTCAAAGATTATAAGACAAAAGGCATAACAATTATAATTGTATGAAGACAAATATAATTATAGTAATTTGTAAAGACCAGTTTATTAAATTATTAGAATAAAACTTTTATTCTACCTACAATTTCAAAAAGAATTAAAGACTATTTTTATATATATTGAAAATATAATATTTTTATATATGATAAATATGAGTTATTTGAGATAATAAAAATATAAAAAAAATATTATATTTGCAGAATAGTTATTTATATGTGTTAATATAAAAATAAATATTTTAAAAAATATAAATATTTACAATCTCCTTGGAACTCATAGCCCAGTATCAAATCCCAAACCTTCATTCTGGTATTCACACAACTCCAACTGCATCATCAAGATATATAAGAGAAGTTATAGCATAAATGAAAGAACAAATATTAAAGGAAGACACTACTCTATTGACCCAAACAATATTTTGTCTAAGTGCAATGGCTGTCCATTAGGATCACCCTCTGCTGGCTTTTGCACATTGTTTTTCACAAGCCCTATAGCATCATCATTATGGGTAGTCTCAAATTCCAACAGTCCAAATAAACACCAACTATACAACATAATCAGCAAACTGTCAATCACACCACAACAAGGAGAAGACATTCTTCAATTTATTGACAACTTTTTCATTTCTCCTTCCATTTCTACACTTCAAAGAATTGGCTACTGCCAACAGTACTATCTCTAACTTCACCAAAGCAAGATTTTCGCAAACAGTACAAAAATTATTCCAACCAATCCAGGACACCTCCTAGGAAATTTCCTTCATATAATAATGAATATCTTGCACTGGTATCCATCAAACTGCATTATGGAAATAAGAAGTAACAAAAAAATTCTTTAAGAAGTATCCAACTACTCAAGAAGAATGACAAAAATCAACTTTATCACAATAATTTTAAGAATTAATAAACTAATATAGGACAAATCAATCCAATCAGATATATCAGTTCCAAATCCAATCCAAGATTTGACAACACTCTTCAATGAATTAAGCTGCCACTTCACTTCTCTGAAAGTCCTCTAATCAGCAATCAGCAATTAGGAAGCAGTGTCAGATAGTGCAAGAAAATCCTAAACATTACCAAGACCTATATAATTTGTAAAAGCTCATCAGTTCTAAAAACATTTGGTTACATTCACAAACCCCACAGTCTCAATATTATTAATAAATCCAATCAAAAAATAAAGAATTCCAAAGTCAATAAGTACAGCAATCTTATCGCCTTTAGAATCAAATTGCTTTCAGGAACTTTCCCTATAAAAGAAAACCTTCACAAATTATATTCAGAACAATACCCTAATCCATATTGTCTCCAGTGCAGTTTATATACTGAGAATATCAAACATATCTTTAAATACCCATTAGCTTCAGGAGATATTTGCCAACTCATCAATACCATCAATAACATTTTTCATCCCAATGGTGACCACAAGCCAATCTCACATGCCTAGCAGCTAACAGAACTGACATGTGACATTACTGACAATATCTTCTCCACTACCAACTTCTCCAACTAGGTCGAAGTCTTAACTGAGACCTTAACTTGTCTATATAAATCAATCTGGATATCTCACTATGCTACAGCAAACACTTCTTCCCTTACTGGTATCAAATGGAACAATAACTACCACAGCAAACATCAAAACAAATAACCAAAAACCCAACTAAATCCAAATCTCTTAACAACTTCTCCACTTCAACATCAACTACTATAGATTTACCTACATTAGTGGCTAATTCTTATATCCAAGGTAAATTTAATTTTACTAAGTACATTTCCAAATTAATTTCAGATTATCTTAATTTTCTTTCATCTAATGCTGAGTAGGTAATCATAACTGCTCGGAGCCTCTTGACAATATATATTGTTTTAAAATTTCTTTTCAATATTAGTCTAGTAGTTACTATAGGCAAGCTAGCATTTAACTCGTTGTACTATTACACATGAGAGATGTTGTTTCTTTCACAATGTATATCTATTATTATACAAATTAAATAAAGAAATGATGTTTATCTACAAAAAAAAATATAGATATATAAGTATTTAAAGAAAAATAAGTAAAATAAGAAATATTCTAAAGCATTTATAGTACAAAAAGCATAATATTCTTTTTTTTTTATAAAGTATTGCGAGTAAGCTTTACTCTAATTTATTAATTGTGCTGTAAACAACATATATTATATATTTCTGTCTACATTTACAATCTCTTAATTAGAATTCACTCATAGGTATACCATCCGGGTGTAGCCTACCTATATATGTATTGCTGACTCAAGTCTTACCGCAATATATCCTATTGGTGTAACTAGATGTTCTATTTGACACTGTGCGAAATTAAAGAAAATTTGAATTTTTGGGGCACTGGGGGTAATACCTATATTTGGTGAATAGAACACTACAATTTAATCTTTCTAGATCCGACCATCTGCAGCTGAACACATCATTTTCTATTTAATTTCCATCTCCTCTCAAGCTACCCAAGAATATCCAAGGAACTTATGTCACCAGGCTTATTGCCCATTTAGGTATCCACAAGGTTACTTAGTGGTCTTACTGCTAGGCTGCCTTCTTGGAATAAGTAACTGTCAGAGTGATTTATTACTGAATTGGAATAGGACCTTTATGGCTATCCTATAGGAAGAGATACCAGGTACCACAGGGAAATGATCACCAAGTCATCTTTATCGAAAGCGGATATCTCATACTCCTTGCAACTTCCAGCGATCATTGTAACACCAACTGGATGATCGTCGTATCACAACGCCTTTTCTGAAAATTATAATCTCAATGCCCACTTGGATCAGCGTATGAAATGGTTTCTTATCAGAAACAGCACTTATACAAGTTATGGCACCAAATACCATATTAATTCCTATTCAACCACTCTCATATGGGGTTGAACTGGTATCTTGTGATTTGATCTGTGGAGTGTTAACCACTACACTATAGACCCACAGGTCAAAAACATAATGTTTAATAATAATAAAAAGAATATTCTAATATAAGAAATATGAGAAATATAAATAAAACTATAACAGTAAATCAGTAATATAAAAACCTTTTTAGAAATAAAGTTATTTCATAAATAAATGTGAATAAAAATAAAACAAGAAGTAGTAAAAATCATAAATAAAAATCAAATATAACAATAGGCAATATTATACATATTGCTGAAATTCGTAGATCCTTGATGCAATTGACGCAATTATTTGACGCAATTAATTGAGTTACTATTAAAACATATAAATAATTGAGT